TCTTGTGTTTCCAAATGAACTTTAGGGTAGATTTTTCAATCTCTTTGATGAATGTCATTGGGATTTTGATGGGAATTGCATTAAGCATGTAGATTGCTTTTGGTAGTATAGCCATTTTTACTATGTTGATTCTACCAATCCATGAGCATGGGATATCTCTCCACCTTCTGTAGTCTTCCTCAATCTCTTTCTTCAGGGGTTTGTAGTTCTCCTTGTAGAGGTCATTCACATCTTTTGTTAAGTTCACTCCTAGGTATTTAAATTATTTTGAGGCTATTGTAAATGGAATTGTTTTCATATGTTCTTTCTCAGTTATTAGTGTATAGAAAAGCTAATGATTTTTGTAAGTTGATTTTATATCCTACCACCTTGCTGTAGCTGTTGATGGTGTCTAGGAGTTTTTGGGTAGAGGTTTTTTTGGGTCTTTAAGGTATAGGATCATATAATCTGCAAATAGGGATATTTTAACAGTTTCTTTACCTATTTGTATTCCTTATATTTCTTTTTCTTATCTAATTGCTCTGGCTAGGAATTCCAGTACTATGTTGAATAGGAGTGGGGATAGTGGGCATCCTTGTCTCATTCCTGTTTTTAGGGAAAATGGTTTCAGTTTTTCACCGTTAAGTATGATGTTGGCGTAGGTTTGTCATATATAGCTTTTATAATGTTGAGGTACTTTCCTTCTATTCCTATTTTTCTTAAAGCTTTTATCATGAAGTGGTGTTGGATCTTGTCAAAGGCTTTTTCTGCATCTACTGAGATGATCAAGTGGTTTTTGTCTTTGCTTCTATTAATGTGCCGTATTACGTTTGTTGATTTGCATATGTTGAACCACCCATGCATTCCTGGGATGAAGCTGACTTGGTCATGGTGAATGCTTTCTGATGTGTTGTTGAATTCAGTTTGCCATTATTTTATTAAGTATTTTTTGCATCGATGTTCATTAAGGAGATTGGTCTATATTTCTTCTTTTCGGAGGTGTCTTTGTCTGGTTTTGGGATGAGTGTAATACTGGCTTCATAAAATGAGTTAGGCAGTGTTCCTTCCCTTTCTATTTCATGGAACAGTTTAAGGAGGTTTGGTATTAGTTCTTTAAAGGTCTGATAGAATTCAGCAGAGAATCCATCAGTTCCTGGACTTTTCTTTGTGGGAGACTATTGCTGCTTCAATTTCATTTTATGTTATAGATCTATTCAGGTGATTAATGTCCTCTTGGTTCAATTTTGGATGATCATTAAATATCTAGAAATCTGTCCATTTCTTCAAGATTTTCAAATTTATTAGAATATAGGTTCTCAAGGTAGTCTGGTGATTTCCTGGATTTCTGTGGTGTTTGTTGTTATTTCCCCTGTTGCATTTCTGATTTTACTGATTTGGATTTTTTCTCTCCTCATTTTAGTCAGGTTTGCCAGGGGTCTGTCAGTCTTGTTTATTTTTTCAAAGAACTAATGTGTTGGGTATTTTTGAGATAGGGTCTCACCAACTATTTGCCCAGGACTGGCTTTGAACTGTGATTTTCCTGATCTCTACCTCCTGAGTAGCTAAGATTACAGGCATGAGCCACCAGTGGCTAGCTATCAACATGGATAATTTTTTTGGGCAGTAATGGGGTTTGAACTCAGGGCTTCATGCTTGCTAGGCAGGCACTCTACCACTTGAGACACTCCACCAGCCCTGTCACTGCAGGTTTGGGGCAATGACTAGGAGACACAACCACAGGGTATCTGGAACAAAATGTTGTAAAAGCTGACAGTTGATTGTCTCTACAAATCTTGTCAGATACTCCTTAAATGATTAATGTGCCTATGTGCAGAACAGAGCAGGAATCTGACCCAAAATAAAGGAGACTGACACAAAATAAAGATAGAGATGCCAGGCTTTTATCCTGCTTTATTTTTCTTAAGCAAAACAGCTTCTTTATTAATTTTATAAGTCGGGCACCCTGACTCACACCTGTAATCCTAGCTACTCAGGAGGCAGAGATCAGGAGGACTGTGGTTCCAAGTCAGCCCAGGCAAATAGTTCGCAAGACCCTATCTCAAAAAAAAATCACAAAAAAGGGCTGGAGGAGTGACTCAATGGGTAGGCCCTGAGTTCAAGCCCCAGCACCACAGACACAGAAAAATGTTATAGCCCAGCACCAGTGATCCTAGCTACTTGGGAGGCCAAGATGGGAAGATCATGGTTTGAGGCCAGCCAGGGCAAATAGTTCATGAGACCCCATTTCCAAAATAACCAAAGCAAAATGGACTGGAGATGTGGCTCAAGTGGTAAAGTGCCTGCTTTGCAGGCACAAAGCCCTGAGTTCAAAACCCCAGCCCCACCAAAAAATTATATTTGGAATTATATACATTAATAATGTGAGAGGGTAGTTTCATACATGTGTACAGTGTACTTTGAACAAGTTCACCCTCCATTATATATTCCTATTCTCCCCTCTTACTCCCCCCCTTTCCCAGTGTTTGGTGGGTTTCTTTATGCTTTCTTCAAACATACATGTAGCATATTTAAATCCTCATCCCCCTCAGTATCCTTTCCTCTCCCCCTCTCATGGATCACACCCCAGACCATCCCCCTTTCACATTCATGTCCCATTATCTTCATCACCATCACTACCACAACAATCATCATCATTTTAGGTCTAGATTCCATGAACATGTGATACTTGGCTTTTTGAGTTTGATTTGTCTCACTTAACATTATGATCTCCAGTTCCATCAATTTTCATTCCATCTGGTGATGAGACCCATAGGGCAGAGGGAGGGATAGACCTTAAACTAGCAGGTACCCAGCAGCGTTTGGGTCCAGCCGTTGGTTGCATTTCTTTCCTGTTCATGTACAAAAAAAAGGGGAGTTGACAATCAGGGTGTGCTAAGGCTTGAGGACCTAATAACTGCTTTCTTTTTTTAGCTTGTCAAAAGTCACACTTGCATGGGCCTTTCCAACAATGTGGTCAGATTGGTGGTATTTATCAGAAGGGTTGGGCCAGAGGGAAGAGTTGAGGGTATAGCTGTGGCAGTAACCAGAAAGCCCAACAAATCCATGGAGTTGGTGTTTAGGGAATTGTAAGATGTCTTGTATCTAGTCTGGGTCTAAGTGTAGTACATTTTCTGAAATTAGGTAGCTTAAATATCGTACCTTTTTTGTTTGTTTTAGTGTCACAGGGTACCCCTATGTAGCTCAGGCTAGCCTCAAACTCAGTCCTCCTATCTCTGTCTCCCAAGTACTGGAATTATAGGAACACACCACCACACCTGGAGATATATATATATATATATATATATATATATATATATATATATATATTTTTTTTTTTAACGGTACTGGGGCTTGAACTCAGGGCCTACACCTTGAGCCAATCCATCAGCCCTTTTTTTGTGAAAGTTTTTTTCAAGATAGGGCCTCACAAACCATTTGCCTGGGTTGGCTTGGAACCGGGATCCTCATGATCTCTGCTTCTTGAGTAGCTAGGATTACAGGCATGAGCCACCTGTGCCTGGCAATATCTTAGTTTTTATGAGCTGTGATTTTTTTCTTAGAAACTTTATGGCTTGGATGTAGAGAAAGGAGAACTCTTACACATTGCAGTAGGGAATGTAAATTTTGTACAGTCATTATGGAAAACAGTATGGAAGTTAATAAAAAAATTGAAAATAGAACGACCATATGATCTGGCTATCCCACTACTGGGTATATATCCAAAGGAAATAAAGTCAGCACACAAAAGTATTGCCTGCATGCCCATGTTTATCGTGGCACTACTCACAATAGCTAAGATATGGAATCAGTCTATGTGCCCATCAGCAAATGAATGGGTTAAGAAAATATGGCATACACACAATGGAATATAATACAGCAAAATGGCGCCACCTAGGAGCCCAACATGGCAAAATTCCTTGAAAGTTATACGGAGAAAGTAGACAATCCTGCCTAGTTCTCCAGAGACTTTAAGAGAGTCTTGCAGCTATTGTGGCAGCACACCAGTAGGGCTCACCCCAGTCCGTGGCTTGCCTAGGCCAGAACCCGAGAAGGAGGTGTGAGAAATACCAGGACCCCTAAATATCAGACTGTTCAGGGAAGGAGGGCCTCTTATTAAGATGGGGATTTATTGGTTCCCTGAAAACAAGCCGAGTTTGCCTCTGGTAGAAACTACTTGCATGCACTCCAACGCATGGTAATCCTCACGTGTACGCTTCTTAGCTCTCACATCATCCCCACTGGCGCTTGGATGCCCTCAAACAACTGAGGTCCACGCTTGGATCCATCAGCCCATAGGCAAAGACGATGTAGGCAGGGTGTGGAGAATCCATAGTTAGCAGGTGGCAGATCTAGGGGTTGGATCTAGTTTTCCAAACCTGGAAAACGGAACCATGGAAATGTTTAGCCTAGACACCTGGATTTTGCAAGCACAAGCGTCCCCGCGCCTTCACCTAGTATGTTCGCTGCGGTGCCCCTCCTACGTTCATTAGGTCACAGTAACGCGTATATATATATATTTTGTTTTGTTTTGTTTTGTTTTGTTTTGGTGGAATTGAGGTTTGAACTCACGGCCTTCTGCTTGTTAGGCTACCACTTGAGCCACTACACCAGCCCGTCTCCGTCCTTTTAAGTCGCAGCGCCTTGCTGGCCTGCGCAACCCCCGCCACCCCCCGTCGGGTCACACCTGCGCGGCGCACCGGTACAGCCCACTCTGGCTTCGCCCGGTCCCTCAGAGGCGTTACCACAGCGCCCACACTCTCCCGCACACCCCCACGCCCCCGCGTTTATGTCTGTGTCACCTAGACCCCTGCTCCCGTACACCCTTCAAGGACATATATGAGCACACAGCCTTCAGGCCTTCGCTCACCTCCTTACGGGCTCATAAAACACCGCTACGCCTAATTCGCCCCGCCCGCCGGGTTACACCTCCGCGACGCCCCTGGGTTCGCTCCGCCCCCGAGTTGTACGACACCGCTGCGCCGGCACCGCCTGCTGTACGTCAGCCCCGCGCGACACTGAACCTGCAAGGACACCGCGGGCAACAGACCGGGAGCCTGCTTGTCACTGACTGGTTTCGGATGTTCTGCGCGCGGTTTTCAACCTGTGTAGTGTTGGTCCTCGGGCCCCTCCGCTGCGATAGTGGCGGCAGCAGGTTGGCGCCTTGTGTGTGAGGGAGCAGGAGTGGGCAGACTGGGGGAGAGAAGGGCTGCACGGTCTGGGCCACCGTCACTCTGGAGTGGAAGGGGAGAGGGCTGCCTGCACCCCCGTCACCGTGGGGACGAGAAGGAAGGAGGCCCAAAGTACTTATTTAGCAGAACCCCCACTTCCCCTGCTCAGTCCTGGGCCTCTGTCTCTGTGGAATCAACTGAGCTAGAGATCCTGGGCATCGGACATTAACAAGCGAAATTTCTATTTTACAGGTAGCAGGATTCTGTTCCCTTCCTTGGTTAGACAGCATCCGCCAAAGGAAACGAGTGCGCCCTCCCACAAAAGCGAGCAGTCAGTATAAAAACCCTTTTTTGGGGGCGATACTGAGGTTTGAACTCAGGTCCTTTTGCATGCTTGTGCCATGTCCCCAGGCCCTTTTGTCTTGGTTATCTTTGAGGTAGGGTCTTGCTTTATGCCCTGCAGACCTGAACCGAGATCCTGCTATTCACAATTCCCATCTAGCTCTAATGACAGGCATGTGCCACTACTCCAGCTTTTATTGGTTGAGATGGGGGGGAGGGAGTCTCATGAACTTTTTTCTCCCAGGCTGGCCTCCAACAGCAATCCTTTGGATTACTCTCTCCTGAGTAGCTAGGATTACAGGCTTGAACAACTAACTGCACTCCAGCCTGAGTGTCAGAAACTCTTAACTTCTATCTCAGAGATCTGCACAGACTACTCTGGAAATTGGGACCATAGGAAAAGCCCTCTTTAAGTAGGTGTGAAAATCCTCACCTCATTGAAGTTTTATGAAAATTAGCAAGGATTGTGGAAAGCAGGGCATGAACTAAATTCAATGGTTTACCCTACAGAGGGCTTTACTGACTCCATAGCCCAGTGGAATGGGCAGCCATGTGCCCTGTCACAAACTGAGTGACTTGGAATCTTTTGACAGCTTTTGGAAAAACCTGCATTGACCACTCTAATCTGAAAAAGCCAGGAGGTTAGTTGGATAGACTGGCAGGTGATGTGGTGATTACATGTAGTCTCTGTATTTGAGGAGTCAACCAGCCATAGATTGGAAATATTACAAACTTTTTTTAAAAATTGATTCTGCTTTGAACATGTTTTTTTCTTGTCATTATTCCCTAAATAATGTAACCATTGTTTATATAGCATTTATATGAAGTATTATAAATGATTTGAAGTATATGGGAGTATATACACAGGTAATAGGCAAGTATTATGCCATTATGTATGAGGGAATTGAGGATCTGCAGATTTTGGTATCTTAGGAGACTCCTAGAATCAATTGCCCATGAATACTGATTGAGGATTTGCTATGCATGTCAGAGATGCACTGAAGTCTATGACTTAGTTCCTTGTCAGGATTTTAGGAGGCCCAATTAGAGGCCTTCTTTTTAAAAAAAAATCTCTTGTTTCTTTGCCTAGCAGGTTGTACAACAGGACAAGTGATTGACTGCTTCCATGTGCCACCAGGACTCTTAAGGAAGAATGATGGCTGTGGGCAACCTCCTTGGGTAAGCATGGACTTCCAGGTTCCTCAGGATTTATGTTGGGTCCATCCCAGGGAACACCCTCTCTTCAGCAGAAAGGGGCTGTTTTAAGTTTGCTGGCTTTGGTCCTCAATGCTGGGAGACTTGTGCCCTCCATTATCCATGTGGCTTCTTCCTTGCTGTGAGGCTAGAACTCTTTGACTGTGACCTGCGGCTCCTCAGAGATCCCTAGCTGTGGATCACCATCTCTGCTAGTGTCTTTGGCCTGCAGGCAGTTCTTCACTATGCTCCAACAATGACTGGCTGGCCTGGCCACATTGGTACTCTCTGGTCCATCACCATCCATTGATCATTGCCTGCATGTTTGTAGCTTGCTGTGGCAGAGCACTGTGAAGGCAGCTTCCTCTGTGCCTCGCCGGCTGCATACATCTTCATGGTGGGCTGATAGTAACAGGGCTTCACTCACTCGTCTGCGCCGCCAGGCTTATGCACGCCTCTACCCAGTGCTGTTGGTCAAGCAGGACGGATCCACCATCCACGTCCGTTACAGAGAGCCACGGCGCATGCTGGCGGTAAGCTTCCTTCACCAGGTGCTTTGCTTAACCTGAGGTCTAGTCATGGTAGTGTGGCTTGTGACCACTGGACTCAGAATGGACTGGACATGTAGCTGTCCAGTTACTAAATCATACTGCAAGATAAATAGGTTATTGGAAAAGAGGAGAGTTTAGACTCAGAACTTGCTCTAAGCATCAAAATCAGATAGGATAAATGAGTGGTGAAAAGGAACAAAAACATTTTCTCTTAATAAAATGAAAGCTTTGAAAGAGAGAGAAAGACCAACAAAATATATAAAAATTAAGCCCAGATAGAAGAGAAGACACCAAGTAAGGGTAAGACCCAGGGCCGTATCTTGGTAGCTTTCCTGATTTGGGGGCTGTGTGGACACACTTCTGCTTCTCCCCACACAGATGCCACTAGACTTGGATGCCCTATCTCCAGAGGAGCGCAGGGCCAGGTTCCGGAAACGTGAGGCTCAGCTTCGACAGAAGAAGGAGAAGGAACCAGAGCTGGTTGATGATTTTGACAATGAGCGTTACAGACAATTTTGGACCAAGACCAAGAAGTAACTGGCTTGAAGCTACCCTAGGAACATTGTGGATGTAGAGCATCTGCTTGTAAACTACATGTTGAAGCCACAACCTGGTGTCAGTGTCTTATGTGTACACCCAGCCCTACAGCTCATCATCTCTGGAAAGTATCAGCTCAGAGCCAACATCTGATGGGGCTCTGGGACTTAGAACAGACCAGAGGGTTAAGGATTGGCTTTAGACACTGCTGCAAGGCTGTGGAGCATATGGTCAGCTGGACAGGAAGCACCAGCAACCCCTCGCTTTACCTTCCCAACCTCAGGAGCATTTAGTTTGCTGCTTTTCAGACCCGACCCAGCAGGGAGTAGGAGCCTACCATTCTAGGAGGCATGGACCTTCTAGGTTACAGCCTGCAGCTGTCTTCCCAACCCCTCTCTTCACAAGTCCTTTCATAACAAGACCACCCCAGGGGGAGACACATCCCCAGTGTAGGGGACCCAGGATGTGGCTAAGCTGGGTGTGTGGAATCCCTAGTTGTCTTCAGAGTATGGGCACTGTACACATTCAAGGCCTGTGAACAGTTATCTGGTGCTTTGTGTTCCTGGTGTTAGTATAAAATTCAGCTGTCTCGCTCTAGACACAGAGTGCACACAACAATGGAAGACATACCAAAGGAAAGCTTGTGATCACCTTGGGTTATCTCAGTCTTGTCCTGTTCCTCATGCCTGTCCTGAGTTACCTCAGGTCCTAGTCATTGTGAAGAGTGGTCACTCCTGAAGCCTGCTTAGGCCAGAAGCTTCAGAGGTATCTTGGACTCTTTCCCTACATCTACCTAGCCCCATACCCACTCTGTCCTTGGCCACACCCAACATGCATTCTGTAGTCAGACATTGCTGCCCCATCTTCACCTTTGTTCCAAGCATCTTCTGGCCTGACCAACCATGGGGCCCCCAGAGTTGCTACCCTGTGCCCTTAGACCTTGGAGGCAGCCAGGTGGCTCTTGCATTGTCACTGTGGCCTATATAGCTGCCCCTTGTCTGCTGCTTTCTCCCTTGCGCAGCTCCTTCTGGAACATTCATGCCACACACCTGTCCCTAGGATGTCTCTGTTCCCATAGGACCACTTGTGTTCTCACAAGCCCATGGCTTATCCCAAAGTCATGTTGCCTAATAGGCATTCAGTAGGTATTCATTGTCAGCGGATGAACAAAAGGTGAGGTCGAACTGGATTATCAGAAAGTACCACAGACTGGATAATTTGTAAACAAGAGAAATATATTTCTCACGGTTTTGGATGCTGGGCATCCATTTTGCCTTGCAGAACCTGTAGCTAGAGTTGCTCCAAAAGTGGTGATGGAGAATATCCACAAAGGAGTGGTCCAAATTTTCCCAAGTTTAGTGGGGCTGGTTGGGATCACTAAGAAGTACAGAGCATTTTTAGAACTTTCTTACAGAGGGCTGAAGCTTATCTTTGTGGTGGACAAACAAAGGGGGTCATGTTCTACCTAGGCATGTGTCCAACCATTGGCTTAGGGTATGGAGTTTATGTGAGAGTTGGAGGAATTTCGTTCAGAGCCAGGGTCAGTTTCACTGTTTTGGGCAGTAACCTCAACACCTTTTTCAGTGCCTGGAAATGTTCAAGGCCCAACCTTGGCCTCAAGCCTGCCAGGAAGAAGATATGTATAGCTCTCAGGTCACAGAACAGCAAGTTATGTGTCCAATCAGGACACATAACGTGTGTGGTGGGGGGGGTCACCCTGGAGGGCCTTAAGACACCCAAAATCAGAATGCCAGCATTGTTGGGTTCTGGTGAGGACTGTGTTCTTGGTTGTAGGTAGTCAATCTACAATCTCATTGTGTTTTCAGGTGGCAGACAGGGTAAGAGAATTCTCTGGGGTCCCTTTCATATGGGTAGTAGTTCCATTCATGAAGTGCTACCTCATAACTTCATCACATTCCAAAGTCCTCATTTTCAAGTACTGTCACCTTGGGGAGGGCTTTACCATATGAATTTGGAGGTGGGGAGGCAAGCACATTCAGTCTCATGCAGGCAGCTGAAGCTGATGGGTGTAACTGAGGCAGGCTAGAATACCCCAGTACTGCCAAAAAAAAACCCTAAAAACCAAAAACCAGTGTACCAAATAATCTTTTAAGAAAGTACATATTCCTTTTCCCAGCACACCTCCCCTCCTCCATTAGTTATATAGTGAGAAAAAATTCCTTTGACCTTGCTCAGATAAGTAATGCCTGATGCAGCAATGCTTTGGTCAGGATGCCCAGAAAAGTTACAAGAAATAGATAGCCAGGCCACAAGACCTTTTAGCTAGTAAGATCACCCTGGACCCAATGTTTCCATGCTTGGATAATGTCAAAACCTTGCAACAGCAAAATGATTGAAAGTTATGAGGTGTGTAACACAAAAACCCCACTTATCTGGAGGAAACTACTTTAGCTGATATCCCCAAAGGAAGAGCCACAAGTTGCATCTGTATTCCCCTGCACTCCAAGCTCCTGGAGTGTGTTTCCCTCTTTCCCTGCTGTTTCTCATTGCATTGTCATACTTGCCTAATGAAACCTTTGCCCACCTTCTACTTTGTAAATTGTCTTGAAGTTCTTTTCACCAACAATTCAAGAGCCCTCAAACTGGGAATAAGGAAGTAAGATGAAAACCTCTCCTCAAATGAAAATCTTGACCCCTCTCCAGTGACACAACCATCCCTGATCTGTGAGTTCCTTGAAAGTGTTTGGGCCGCTGCTTTTTTAGCCAAATGCTTTATTGGATAATATAGAGAAATTGAATGAATCATTATGTTAGAAATGTCTTTAAGATATTGGGGTATCACCAGAGAGAGAGGACACAACTCAGAAGTCAACAGGCAAGGCAAAATTTACTTCCACAGAAGGGTGCACCACAGACAAATAGCAAGCACACTGGGCAGGAAGTCCACTCAAGTTTTATCTTTAATGTAATGCTGCCCCTCCCTTGAATTAGGCAGGTTTTGGGTTCGCAGTCTAAGTGGTTGGCTAATTGGAAAGTGGACATTGGGAGGCTGCTTTGAAGACAATGAAGTTTAAAAGTTCAAGGAAGCAATAACAGTTTTTGATGATCAGTTCTGGAACCAGGGCATCTAGTGGAATTTTGTCTGACTGACGATAACAACCCTTTATTTTTAATAGAAACTTTCAACAGATTAAGCAAAGTCTATGAAGCGAATGTATGGGAAGCAAGTTAGCGAGACTAGCATTTGTAACAGCAGTGGTTACTGATTAAATCCTTTGACAGAAAAGACCCAACCTAAGCCGATTCTCACAATTTCCCCCTTTTATTTTATTTACAGTTCTTTAAAAAAAAAACAGCTAGCATTAGTAGACTTTTGGTCAAGCTTGACTATCTAGTTGTTCACCCATCCTTATCAGATTGAACATTTTAAGAGGGCCTCTTTAGTCCATCCTGTCCTTGAGTCTTGTCACCTACATTTTATGACTACCATTCATTATTTTGGTGAACCCCCCTGCACACACTCTTTTGTTTTTGTTTATCTTGGGAAAGTTTAGGGTCTATATTTTATGCTTTTAGATGTCTGCCTTTAGGAACGTTTTATGTTGTTTTTCTTATCTAGAATAAAAAAACTGTTGTGTCTCCGCTGTGTCTCTGTGTGCAAAGCTGGTTTTTTATGTCTTTTTAAATGTTTTGCTTTTAAATATGTCCTTTTATTTCTTTAAAATAAAGTTACTTTTGTCATTCATCCCTTTACATCTCCAGGGTTATTTTTGTTGTTTGTTTCTAGGGACATTTTTGTTATTTTCTTTTTCCTTACATTTGTCACCTTACATTCAACCCTTCTAGAGGTAACCTTGACTTCCATCAGGAAAAGGGGCATTGGCTCTGTCTGACTGCTTCAGGCTGAGAGGGTGCATCGTGGGACTTCTTCCAAGATACTGAGCGGGGTGGCGGGGGGGCGGTCTGTCAAGGTGTCCTTGGTACCAGGAGGGCGTCTTTGGCATGTATGGCTGTTTTCATCACCATCTGGAGATTGATTGTCTCTAACCTTGAAGAAACAAACTTGACAAGAAGATTGAGAATGCATGGACCAAAAATAAATAACTATTGCAGCCAGAAAATCGAGGGAGGAGCCAGGTTAGAGATGGTAGCCAAGATTTAATTTTCCCTCATACTCACCCAACAACTTGTGTATTTATTGATTTTTTAAACTATTTAGCTTTATTGAGAACTATTTTTGTACTAGTGTCAATTTGTCCAGTGGTATTGAAATACATGTAGCAGGAGGTGTTGGCTGTAGCACATTTTTCAAATGTTTGAGCCTTTGTTTTGTTTTATTTTGTTTTTTGTATTGTGTAGAACTACCATGGCAACAATACATTATCAGTAGGCAACTAACTTGTCTCATGATGGTAAAATAAGGGGGCTATATAGGACCAAGGAAAACCCATTGTTTAAATCCAAAACTAAACACCCATCTTTAAGTATCAAGGACATGTCTGGAGCCAATAGAAATATTCACTTTGTCTCTGTTTAAGTAGAAGGCCCTGGCCAAAAGTATGCGTTTATACCTGGAAGGGCTTTAATGCTAGAGAGCCAAACATGCATAACAGCTATTTCTGTAACCCTCTTGGCTTTATTTTCTTAGAGGTCTGGCACAAGTTACTCCCTTTGAATTTTGACTGTATTTGCTTATCTCCAAACTGTTTGTCTTTGAGCAGTATCCTCTGAAGAGTTTTTTTATTTTGATTTTTTTGCGGCCAAGATTAGCTTTCTTTTGGAATTTTTGTTTTTGTCCCACATTGGGCAATAAGTAACAAGCAGGTCAAGTGGAAGTCAGTGTCAACTAGACCTTTTTGGCCAAATTTAAGCAACAAAGAGGCTTAGAAGGAGTGCCTTTTAGACAAGGACAAGACAAAATAAAATCCAACAAAAGTAGATGTTTAAAAACCTAACTTGACTGACAGATAAGTACTTGTTAGAGTCATTTTCCATGGACTCAAATTGTAAATGCCCCAGAAGGATCAGGACTGTAATGACAAAAACTTAAAATAATCATGGTTAAAATTCTGATAAATGATTTAGCAACTAATAGAACAGTCTACGTATTTTTATAGTTACAACACTTTAGGATAACAATTATGA